CACACACTCACACACACACACACACACACACACACACATGTGTTCATAATAGAGGGAGGTGTCTATGGATTAGACCTGATTACATTCTCACACACTCATTCATTCCACTGTCTGGAGCTCGCTTGATCTTGTTGCAACCTGCGTGACCTTCAGTAGATTTCCACTTCACGTGCCTGGAGCTGACGGTCACATCTTTGTGATTTAACCCCTTCCTTAACCGCACAGTAAAGGTTTTCCTCAATGCATTGAATCAAATTCTGATTTAAATCGTTAGGATTATTCTGTGCACACTGGAAATCTCATTTCGGTTGCGTAAGAAATCATTCAAGTCGTTCTTTGATGGATTCCTGGAGATTTGGATTCGATTTAAAAATGCAGCATTGCTCCACCTGCAACACCTTTACATAACCGGCGGAAACTCCTCTATCACCAGATTAACACATACGGCTTTGTTTGTAAACATTAAGATGAAGCACGGCTTGCATTTACTTGCTTCCCCAGAGCTGAAGCAGATTTACACCGACCAGAATCTGAGGCAAACTGCTGTTCTCATTAACGGCACTAATTGCCTAATCAGGTAATTAGCACTCGTGTAAATCACATTTGTGTATATTGTGTTCACAGATTAGAATACTCCCAAACTCACTGCTAACTCTTTTAACTAGAACTAACTAGGAAAGTTGGGTGGTATCAGCTTATGCAAATGTGCATGTACATTTTTAAAACTGATGTTTTTGGCAGTACGGATATAAAGAAGCACGATACTCACACAAACATGGCAATGCCAGTGTTGGCCATGGCATAGGAAAGTCCCAGGATTCCACTTCCCATGATGGCATTGCCCAAGTTAAACACCGACATCCCGAACGATGCTGAACCAGGGCTCTGAAAAACAGGAACAGTGATATTTATGTGTGTGAAACGGTAGTATCTGATGAAACCTCTCAGACCAGATCAACCACTTACATATTCAGCTTCGTATTTCTTCTTGCCCAGTTGATGATCAGAGAGGAAGTTCTGACTTTCTGCGTCCACATCGGTATATTGCATTCTGTAAGCACATCAGTGCATTAGATCAGCATAAGGGAAGGTTTATTAACTAATAGTGACTCGTCTCCAGGTCAAATGAAGCAAGTTTTACCCATTGAGGGGAACTTTGGTGGGACAGTGCTGATAACTCGTGTACTCGTTGCTGTTGGAAATGCTGCTGTCTATGTCTGGATCGACGTTAAAGCGACTCATCTTTGTGTTTGCAGGGGCTTTGATCATTCTGTAATGCAAAAAAAAGGTTTATACAAAAATATGCAAACATTTTACCTAAAGTTTGCCAATTATTATTATTACTGAAACATCTAAAACCACACCTTCATTGTAGTCTAATGATTATTTGGGTGTTCTTGTTTCAAAATCAGAAATAACCAAAGTGGTTATTTGACAGTCGGTTGCATGGGTGTTAATGCGGTTTAGAAAATGCATGTCCATGCATTGCTCAGCGGAGCCGCGCCTCAGCTCAGCAAATGGGCATCAGGTCATGTGACCCAAAATATGACGTCATCGAATGTTTATTTTTTTATATTCTAAGCACTTTAAAATGTCCAGTTTTCTTGATGTGATTATTTAAAGGTTACCTAACGTTATTTAAAGGCTACTAATAGTGACCCGTCTAGGTCAAATGAAGCAAGTTTTACCCATTGAGGGGAACTTTGGGGGGCATGTACTGGTTGCTGTTGGAACTGCTGCAGTCCATGTCTGGAGCACGGTCAAAACGACTCGTCTTTGTGTTTGCAGGGGTTTTGTTCATTCTGTAATATAAAACAATGGAATATTCTTCTTATTGTGCAAGGATTTAGGTTTTGCTTATCCATTGAGGAGAAAAAAATTGGCTATTTTTAGGGACATACACACCCACGAGCCTTCAATTTGGTGTTTTGTGTAAGAAATGATCTTGTAATTGGTTTGACTGATACAGTTTTAGCAACATTCACACTTTTCTGTACAGCTGATAAAGGAGGGTCTCTTATTTCTGACATCCCTGTCGTCTGTACTTGAGTTTTAATCGAAGTTAAAGTTTTATCTGCTTAATCTTAATTATGTTTTTATTTCATTATGTGTTACTGTCTCTCTCTCTCTCTCTCTCTCTCTCTCTATCATGTATTAGTGTTATACTCTGTGAAGCACAACTCCTGTATATATATATAAAATGAAATGAAACAGCATTACAGAAACATCTTTACATAACAGGAAACAATGGTGCACAGGAAAACTATTTAAAATATTATTTAAATGAGATACTCGATCGAAGTTCCTCAAGCGAGAAACCCTTGCCTAAACATGCATTTGACCTCAAATTTGCTAATTATAATTTTTACCGAAACATTTCAATTGTAGTCTAAAGATTTAGTTATTATTATTTCAAAAAGCAGAAATGGTAAACCATTCTCATAAGGTTTATTTGACAGTCGATCGCGTGTAACGTTACACAGAAATCTGCTGTTTGCAGACGTCACGTGACCAGCCAAGAGCTGGGTGGAAAATTACAACCGGCAGCGACAACACCGACGTCTCATCAGTCTATATTTACATATTCGGAACAAAACCATTAGACATAACCTATTAAGGCTATTTTTTCTAGTCGGGTGACTATTTCAACCTGTCTAAACGGATACTGGTGACCATTTTAGACCGTCATCAGTATAAAATTTCCCTTTAAATTCTCAAACCACATGAATAATTTTATTAGATCAAATAATAATGATAATTTTGGTAAATTAGAATGAGGAAAAATGTGTGTGAAGCAGACGCCCGTGTGTTTATCAACAACCCCCGGACAAATCAAACAACAAAGGCAATAAAACCCATTAAATCATGTGACGTTAGCTAATTTAATACAGGCTATCCAGCCTTTGACAGCCAAACTATTTAATATTATTATATTATATTATATTTAAGATCATTAGAGTGTGTTTGAACGGTGATGATGATGAAACACGAGTCACAAAACAGATAAAAACGATCAAATAAACGCGATTACAGTGTGTTCAGGTTACAAAAATTAATAAATATATTAATAAAAAGGTCAGGGAATCATCTAATACATCAAAAAACTTGAAAACGGGATGAGATCTTACCTCAAGAATAATAATAATAATAATAATAATAAAAAATGAGAAATCCGTTTGTTCAGCTCCGGTATGAATGGAAAAAATATCACCAAACCCTCCCAATAGTGAAGAATGTTCCAGTGATCAATTACTACGTGATAGATAACAAATAAATACCCTAAGATTGATCAAGTACATTAAGCATGCACTGCAATACTTATAAACCCTACAATCGGTAATATTAATAATAATGTAGAAGATAAACGGAGATGTCCTCTGGGCGCGTCTGGTATCACAGTCTGATGCTGCTGAGATGGTTTATATTCGCCGGGCGCATTGCATCAGCCGGAGGACACTGGGGTGGAGCCTCTCAAGCGATTGTGTACAAACAGACCCGCAGTGACCCAGACGAGGAGTGCCTCTCATTCCCAGCCTCATGAAGGCGTTCACCTCCTTCATCCTGCTCATAGGAAATCAAATAAACAGATGCAACCTTTAATATCACAGCTGCGTCTGTGTCTCACAGCACTGAGAGCAAATGGAAACATTTTCCTGAGCTAAAGATCTCACATTACAGGCACAGTATTCTCTAATGTCTCATCCAGAGTTTCACAAATAAAGGGACATTTTAATAATCATAAGAACCTTTTGTGCATTTTTTAAAAATAAAGGTTCTTTATTTGCATCAGTTCACTGAAAGGTTCTTTGTGGAACAAAAAACGGTTCTTCTATGGCATCACTGTGAAAACTCCCTTTTGGATCCTTCATTTTTAAGAGTATATGGATGTTAAACACCAGAGATGCCAATTTTTGAGAAAATCGCCTTTAAAGTTGTTCAAATGAAGTTCTTAGCAATGCATATTACTAATCAAATTGTAAGTTTTGATATATTTACGGTAGGAGATTTACAAAATATCTTCATGGAACATGATCTTTACTCAATATCCTAATGTTTTTTGTCATAAAATAAAAATGTATAATTTTGACCCATACAATGTATTTTTGGCTATCGCTACAAATATACCCCAGCGACTTAACACTGCCTTTGTGCTCCAGACTCACAAATGATCTGAGCTGCTGGGCACATTCATTTTTATCTCTAAACGCTAACTGGTCGTCAACCATTGATTTAGAAGAAACATCTGAGAAAGAAATGTAGAACTAAAAACTTTAAGGTTACTTAAGATCAACATCTAAACAATAACATATTGTTCTGTGGTAAAGGAGAATATCTAGGGTTTGTGACGAACAATTTGACTACAGAGGAACCACAGGTATAGACCACAACCCACCCTGTGACATATTTCAAGCGAGGAAAGGTTATTTGCACAGAGTTTGCCTTTTATAGCTCAGGAGAGGTAGCTAACAAAGTAATAATGCATGAATTAACAATCACCTTTGTCTCAGAAGTTCCTCCTAAACAGACCTAAATGAGTCAGTTGTGAGTTTACTGCTTCTCATTTGTGTCTGCTGAGAAAGATGTTAAAGTCAATGACTTTTCCATGAGAGTGGATCATGCGACCACATGACTATGAGAGGAGCCGTGAGGAACAAAAGGAGGAATTTTGCAAAAAGAGGAACTTCTGATATGACGTTAGACACAAGTGACAGATTAAACGAGTCGGGAACGAGTGCGGCCCCACGCTCGGCTTTGGGTCACGCCACACAAGGGCAGTGAGTTGAGTTTGTTGTTACTTTCGCTCCTAGCATAACTTGAACGAATCACTCGCCTGACCACCTTCGCACAGAAGTTCTTCGTCACCCCCCGATCGGCTAAATCCCCCAGTGGAAGTGAAGCAGGGCATTACGGGACTCCGGTCTATGGTGATTTACCCTCGGATTAAAGGCCACTGCAGCCTCTGAGTTTGAGTTCACAAAAGAACACGGATGCTGGAATGTCTGACCTATTGAAACAGGGGCCCCAGGCGGGGCCCTGACTCCATAGGTAAGACTGGATCAACAAAAGCATTTTTCTGTCTCCACACTGTGTGAAAAACGTGCGGAAGAAGTCCCAGCTCTGCCTTTGAAACTATAGTAGCATCCATCGAGAAATGACACGGGGGGTGGGACCATCATCCATTGGAAATATCTTGATTTCTGAAGGAACATGTAGTTGCATAATGTTCTTCTGTGCCATATTTTAATGAATAAATGATTCACCTACCAATTCAATGGAAATATCTTGATTTCTGAAGGAACTGTTTCTGAAATGTAGTTGCATAATGCTCTTTTGTCTGACTGAATTTCTTCAGTGGAAAACAGTAGATATCTTAGAAGATATTTATATTTTTTAAAAATAAGTGTTGATGACATGAATTTTAAGTTTTAGGGGAAATATCACTGTAAGAGAAATTTAACGTTACCAAAATGTTCTTTTGCATATCATCTTTCATTTTTCCAGCAGAGTTTCAGAACATCCTGGAAAGTCTCCTGCAAACTTGAGATGGGCAACAATGTTTTGTTTCTGGAAATCAGTGCTTTTTTTCTGTGATAACCTCCCATGAACACTGTTTTGTCAGTGTTTTACTTTATGGCGTTATCATGTGTCTGGATATCTTAATCAGTGCAGATCTTTCACTGTCAGCCTATGGTTCTGTGTCACTTGTTTGAGGTTTTTACAGTTTACCCTCACACCGATCTGTGCAGGACGTCTCGTCCCAGGGAGAGGTGTAGTGGTGCTGAATTTCTTCCTTTGGTAAATTATCCGCCTGACTGTGGACTAAAGGAGGCCCAAGAATATAGAAATCCTTCTGCAAACCCTTCCAGTCTTCTGAACTGGTTCACCTCTTCTTCTAAGTACTTGGATCACAGTGAATTTAGCTGAAAAAAGCAGGTAACCCAAATGTTTAGTGTGTGAAAGGGCAAAGTAAACCCAAGGCTTTTTCTGAGATGCAGCTGGTCTTTACAGTAAATTAAACGTTGTTCTGTAAATACTCGAGTGAGGGTCTGTTTACTCATTAGTTTAGGTAGGTTTGTGGTTGATTTCTTTAATTAAACTGGCCCAAATTAACCTTTTTACCATCCTTTCAAATCATCAGTTAAATTACAGAGTTGATTTCTTCCTGTAAATGCTACACTCTTAAAAATAAAGGTTCTTTATTGGCATTGAGAACGTTTTTACATCCATGGAAACTCTACATTCCACAAAAGGTTCTTTATAATGGAAAAGGGTTCTTTAGGTTTTTAAAATGTTATTCACACCAAGAAAAATGGCTATTTTGAGATCTTTTCACTGAAAGGGTTTTTCGGGGAACAAAAAAAGGTTCTTCCTTGCCTAAATCTCCATTTTGGAACTTTTATTTTTTAAGAGTGCATGTAAACTGTCATTTAACACTTCACATTTTAACTCGTATTTTTAGTTCTATTGCTGTTTAGGAATAATAGTAACCACTTCATCTCACCATGACTGGGTGGACCATTTCTGTATACCAAATAGGTATCATTGACATGTAAATGTGAGTAGTCATATGTAAATTTCGTAACCAGATGTTTTTGCATCTTAGTTACAATAGACCTTCAGTTTTTAAGACTTAAAGCTATATTACATTTTAATATATATATATATATATATTGATCTAAAATCAAGTCACTGTAAAAATAATGTTGCTTCAACTTAAAAAGTAAACATTCATGCTGCCTTAAAATTAATTGAACATTTTAATTAAGGTTAATGAACTTGAAATGTGAAGGCGTGACCAATTGGAAAAACCAGGAAAGTTACTGTACACTGCAAAAAAAGTGGCAATCTGCAATTGTTAACTTAATGATCTGTTGATTTAACCCATAAAAATATTTAGGTTGGTTCAGTGATGTTAAATTGTATTTTTGACTTTAATAAAACCAGTTAATTTAGATTTAACATTTTTAAATTACCAATGTTTTTTTTTTTTCAGAGTAACACTGAACTTCAAGTTGTAATAGCTAATTGTAACAATTATATTTAATGGTATACAATCCTAATTCCATTTTCAACCTTCAACATCTTTTGTACTAGTCTGCTTCGAATTTCTTCCACTTCTGAACCCGACTGCACAGTTGAAATTAATAGAAAATTCAAATGTTAAGAAGAAGAAAAAGACAAGAAAGTTCTGGAGAATGTCTGTGGATTTCTTGATGTTGGGATCATGGTGGTCCGTGAGAGAGAAGACATCCCGCCGGTCTCCCGCAGAGGGGGGCAGAGGTCGGCTCATCTTCCCCCGGCTCCTGGCTCATTCTTATATAATCATTTTATCTCCTCGTATTAAACAAACAGCCGCCCGCTGTCCGCACTCATGGGAACCTGCCGAGAGAGCTTACGTTATGCACATCACTTCAGCAGCATAATGTCCACCTGCCATTGCTCATAACAGACCCTGCTCAGGCCATTTTGGTACTTTATGAAATAAAATACAATTTATGATGTGTGACTATGTAAATGATATAATACTGACACAGAAAATCCTGAAGGATGCTTGAGAAAGAAAATAAAAAGTAGGCCATGGGGACGTTATGCCAGGAAGATGATGGTGCACATGTCCTCTTTCTCATGGACTATCATCACTTCTGTCTGTGTTATCGTGTTTCCAATGTGTACAGCTGTGGCGGGAAGCTTCAGTGTGTTTATAGCAGAGTTACCAGACCGGAAAACAAACGCTCTTGACACAGACAGGAAGTGAAATGCATACACTCGTGTATACATGTGAAAGCGTGCAAATACGCAGAGGAGCTCAATGCATTTCACTGACACTGATTGCTCTATAGATGTGCCTGCGTGTGCGTTTCTGAGCACCTGCAAGCCAAGTTCTATGCCGAGTGTCACAGCAAGATGAGATTTGGGATATATTTAGGTCATTGGGTTGTAAGGTTAGCAGAGATACAGTTTAACATCTGCGATGCTTACAATCACATCATCAGCATCTGTGACAGTATACATTTTAATTCCCTCTTGGAAAGATAAACCAGCTTGAATTTCCATGCTGGTCCAGGTCGGTTGATGCTGGTTTAACTGGTGGATTAAATAAAATGCAAAGTCATATCAGCAACACCAAGGTCATGGGTTCGATTCCCATGGAATACAATGACTGTGTATCTTGAATGCAAAACAAGTTGCTTCAGATTAAAGCTTCTGCCAAATGTAAATGAAAACCTTTTAGGAGGGTTTAAGGTCAAAACAGTTGTGAGGGAGAGTATTTGGAGAATGGATGATGTTCAGATCGTGTACTGCATGTTCTACAATGGTTCTAGTCAGGATTAATATAATCAACTAAACTATTAAAAACATATTTTTTAATTGAAATAAAGTAGAATCAATATAAAATCTACATATTGGATGAAAAA